TTTCAAACAAAACCCCAGTGAAGAATACCTTCCCCTGTGTTGTTTACCCAGGGAAACCACAAAGCCTCTCTCAGCAAAAAGGCTATTGTCACTGTTCTGTATTGATCTTGAGAATTAAAACAAAGATGTTATTTCTCAAAACACTACATACTCTGGATACAGGAAACAGATTCCAAGTGGAAACTGAACAGGAAGCTTCCTCCCTATGGGCCAGTTTTCAGAGGGCCACAAGTATTATTAAAAAAAAAAAAAACACTATAGTTTTGAAATCCCTGCTGCTTTTAAGACAAGTTATTAAAAGATAAAACTAAAATATTATGTAAAATATATTCAAAATCATTTAGAATAAGATTATAATCACCTTAATGTCTACAATTTAAACTTCACAATAGTGAAATTTTTCATTTCTGCTTTTTCTTATATTTAGTTCCTGATTTTCATATTTGTAGGTTAAGTTCTTCTGTTCTATTGAAAAGTTACTACAGTGCTTAAGTATTTTTCAAATCACAATGTGAATTCAGGTTCCCACTAAGTCATGGCCTAGTAATATACTAGTAATAACTTACTGTCTCAACTTCATTATTGTAACTGAAAACAATAATTTGAGAACCAAAGCTCACTGTGCCAAACTAAATATTTAATACCTGACACATAGAAACACAGCAAAGATTGGGTGTCAGACACCATTCTTATCAGGACATGCCAGAATCAATCTTCAGGGAATAAACTTAAGTGTTTGTCACTATGTGTGACTCATCTTTTACCTACTTTATTCACTCATTTTTTTCTTTTTCCTTCATGATATATTTCACTTGACCAGATTTCATCACAAAGTGTTCGTTTTCAAGAAGAGAGCCAATGTCTATCACTGCCTAAAAGAATTCAGTTCTAAGTGTTCTGGTTGACTGATTTTATATTTGAGTGTCTTACACAAATGGATGGTTTTGTCGCTGCAGTGTGATGATTGGAGTGTTCCCTTCACTCCTGCATCACTGCTTTAGCCAGGGGCTTCCCTTGCCTAAAAGTCAGCTACACTTTAGGATTGAAATGGTTATGAAAGGTTCATATATTTAAGACTTGATCCCAAGCCCATGGTGTTACAGGGAAGTGATGGGACTTAAGAGAAATGCAGATTACAGAACTTAGGTCGGTGAACCATGGTCTAGGAGGAAATATTGGTAACCTCCAGCTCTTCCTGAATCTTAATGATTCCTGACTTGCATACTTTAAATGGGATTCCTTCTCCATATACTCGGCAATGATACACCATGGTGTCAAGCCAAAAGCAACACGGCTAGGTGGCAACACAATAAGACTTCTGAAACAGTGCAGCACAATAAATCTTCCTTTTTTATAACTATCTCAAATGTTTTCTGACAGAGATAGAAAATTGACTAACCAAGAGTCTATGACACACAAAATGAAAAAGAGCCCTGGCCTCTGAGTATAGAGAACTCTCATGTGCACTTCTCCAGTGGGAAAGAGTGGTTTTCCAGACATGGAGCAAATGAGGTATCATTAAATAGGAAAGTCTCCAAAAATAACCATATGCTTCATTTTATATTCTTTCTTTAATTACACATTTTATCAAAATTAGGTTCCATATGCTCTTACATATTATATGTCTGAAACTAAATATACATTACTAAACTTCAATAATACTTTTGTTTGACAGGTAGAGATTTTAAGTGATTTTTCTTAAAAATTTATGGACACAGGCACGTGGTGGTAGTGGTGCATGCCTTTCATCCCAGCACTCTGGAGGCAAAGGCAGTCAGATCTCTGTGAGTTCGAGGTCAGCCTGGTCTACAAAACGAGTTCTAGGGCATCCAGAGAAAAGCTCTATCTCAAAAAACAAAAATAAAACTTGACACTGTTCTAGAAACTATATTTTCCTATGATAATACGGATACTGTATTTAGTCTTAATGCTCTAAAGGCTCACAGATGGTGCTAAGAAGGACCTGAGAATTCTAACATCTTGACTCACAGGCAACAGAAAGTGGTCTGTGATACTGGTTGTGGCTTGAGCATATATGAGACCTCAAAGTCCACCTCCATAGTAAGAACACACCCATTCCAACAAGGCCATGCCCCCTAAGAGTACCTTCCCTTTGGGGGCCATTTTCTTTCCATCCACTACAGTGCCTAAAATCTGGATTGCTACATACATAAAATTTAATTGGGGCAAAGTTTTCTGTATTTTTCTAGCACTAAATAATAGTAGGAGAGGTTAGACAATTGTTAACAAATGAAATTTCTGCATTGATTATGATATAAAGGTAAAGAAAATGAAGTATCAAAACTAAAGCAGATCTAATTATGGTGACCAAGCTCTGGAATGTGTTGTAACACATTGTTGAACTACAGTACTCGGGCTCCCCCAGTCCACTTCTCAAGTGCTTATTTAACAACAAAGCCAACAAAGCTGAAGGACTTAGGAAGACATTACTCAAACATGTATATATGCAGAAAAAAAGGCCATGTGCTACTGAACTACATGTGCTCAATCATGCTTAGAAACAAATGTAACTTCTTCATCACCCCAACAAGCATTTATAGGTGCAGAAGAAAAGACTATGTGCTATTAGCACTGTATGTGCTAGATAAACTTAAAAATGAATTGATTTTTCCCTACTGAAAAATGACTGAGAAAGTATGTTGAATTTTTCACATTGGAAGACAACCAGAAAATGTCCATTTGTGCAGATCTTTGTGTTACAGCTATAGAATGAGAAAATGTATAAATATGCATGTGAATTCAAACACAATATTAAAGTTTGTGGGAAAGTACTTGCAAAATAAGTCTATCCGTGGAAAATTAGAAACAGCAAGTGCATTATCAATTATAGCACTTATTATTGGTTGGAATATATTGATAATTGTGCTAAAGTCATGCAGTTGATTCCCGGATGTACCAGTTTACAACTGCTTTGTTTCCAAGATGCAGGATGAATCACAATGGCCAGCTGTCTCTGAAGGGAGCATTACTGATGAAGAGGGGTAGGGAGCCAGCATGTAGACAGATGAGTCCAATTCCATTACAATGACTGGAAAAACACTTCAGCACATTTTCTGGAAAGAATGGGTCAGCAGCTTAATGCTTATTTCAGTTTGGCACCAAGCATGTATCCCTCACAGACAGATGCTTAATAATAGTACTTTGTAATGTTAATAACTGTGATGCCTACATGTGTCTTAGAGCTAGATAGCTGCTTTCTAAAACAGGTAATTTTAGGGTTGTCGGGTTCATTAAGAACATAGCCAGGGCATCTAAATATAAGTTCCTGTATTTTCAAGGCTCAAATTTTCAAAGACATATTAAATTTCTGCTTTAAAGCTGTGGGCTGTAATACAAAATATAATAAATATGTGCACACACAAACACGTACACACACCACCACCAGAAGTATACTTTAAATAAATTATGTCTTTGAGTGTTTCCCTGCATGTGTCTATATAGATCGTGTGTGTACAGTGCCCCTGGAGGTCAGAAGAAGGTGCTGGATTTCATGGAACTAGAGTTACTTGGCGGTTTTGAGCTGCCAGGTGGGTGAGGAACACGTGCTGTTATAGTAATGTCCTTAAGCACTGAGGCACCCCTCCAGCACCAACTATATTTCTGTTATGGTCTTAAAGACCAAGCAAGAAAAACAATGTATATTTCTGGCCTAGACATTCAAAGAAGGATTATAACACAAAATTTTCATTAACAGTAGTTACATTTCTACATAGTCCAAAAGTATATTTTTTATCTTTATCGTCATAAAATGGTCACAAACTACAGAACAACTGTGCTGCTATCCCTAGACACAAACATTTCTTTACTAAATTCATTTTACATCATATCTAGAAACCATTAATTTTATTTTTCCAGCAATTATCCAACACCACAAAAATCAGTATTATATTTTAATTTTGTAAATTCCTTAAAGTAAAAATTGCTATTGAATATAATGCTATATTTCAGTTAAGAGTTTTTAGTTACATTGCAGTAGAAATCACTTAATTGAATAGAATTTTCAGTATTGTGTGATGGAATTTTAACATTTCTGTGGATTTCATTTAAGTAGTTAGATATTTATTAAGGAAATCATAAATGCTTTCTTTGAGAGATTAAAATATGTATAAATTTTATATTTAGATATCAAATTAAAACACAGAAATATGCAATAGACATATCTAAAGTCTATTTAGTATTAAACACAACTATTAATACAAAATAGCTTATAGATATATACCCAAGTTTGCATATACACATCTAAAGTAATGTTTGTATCTAGCAGATGTACCAAATGTATGTATATATTGATTGTTCCTACTTACAAATTAGCTTTTTCTCATTCTAAACACTTTACAGATGAGTACAAACAGACTCTACAACTTCTGTAAAGCAGACACTATTCTGATCATTTCCTGACTGCTTTTTCTCTTGTAAAAAATATCCATGAATCCAAACATATGATATAACATGTCCCATAGGAACACTGTAATGTTAAATATGACTTCTCGAAAAAACAATAACCTTAGGACACAAAATAACAAAGTGCCAGGCTTCATACCACCCTGCCAAGACTCCTGTCACTGCATTCCACCAGGTCCCACACTAAAACATCGTGCAGACAGAGAAGTGGTGTCAGGGGAGTAATGGGCATTGACAATATCCTCAACAAAGTTTCTTCTCTGAAGAAAACAGAGAGGTGCTGCTGCTTATATGTCAATGGTTTGAAGGAAAAATGGATCTCTGACAAGCACAGCATGCAGGCCAAATCTTTGTGATTTGGCTGTTGACAGCATCTGAGTAAATGTCAGTTACAGTAAATCTCAAGGTCAAATGATACACGAGCTCTCTTCTTTATAAAACTGAACAAGATGTTATTTCACTTCTGTAGGTGAGCATTTCTTTACATTAGTCAAATATTGATGAAACTTTTAAAATACAGTTTCTCATAAAAAGTGAAATAAAACAAAACAATTAGAGGGTATTATATATGGTCTTACCAAGTGAAGATAAGGCATAGTAGTGTAGATATCAAAATCAAAACTTGATTGAACATTGCAGACTGTGTTCGCTGAATGGCTCTATGAAGATCATTCTAGAATAATAAAATGCATATTTCAAATTTCGATGAACACTAAATATACATGAGTTTAAATACTAAGTATTCTGTAAATTTAATATCTATAATTAAATTAATTTAATAGTATATTTTCATTTTACATGGATCTAGATGTAACTTACAATACAATTATATTACAAAGATAGACTATGGGAAGACCAACAAAGCATTAAATTGTAGCTCACTTACATTACAGCAAACAGATTACAAGTTGCATTTATTACTTCCAGACATACCCAGCCTGCTATAATGGTACAGTACTCAAGAGCCTAAGAAAGGGGAATTTTGAGTTCAAAACCATTTTGGGCTGCATACCAACAGGCCATCTCAAACAAAAAGGAAAGAAAGAAAGAAAACAAATAAATAATCACCTCTTCCAAATTTAATGATCTCATGAAAATACGCAGATTTTCAGGAAAATAATGTATCAGTGAAGGGAGCAAAGAAAGGAAACTGGAACTATTATTAAAACTCACTAATGAATAACTACACAGACGAGAGCAGCCTGTCACATGGGAAAGAAAACAATTGTCTATTAATAAATACTAATGGTGATTTCAGTAGTGTTAATATTAAAAGGTATATGAATGAAGGTGTAATATGTTGAACAGACACATGTAGTATTCCCCAGACAATAAAACTTTTAGAAGGAAACCTGGTAATACAGACAAAAATATTAAAGCATGTCATTTTTATTCTGTGTAATCATAAAATAAGTAGTTACAGAAAAAATCCAAACTTTAATCCTTTAATCACTGAAAATCCTAAGAGATGGACATTAATAATTATATATATATATATGTATATATATATATGTGTGTGTGTGTGTGTGCTTACTGTAAAAATATGTTTATTATATAAATAATGGATTTCTTTCATTATTAGTATAAAATATGCAATATGAAAATAGTTTAAAATGATGTCTAAATAATAGTTTTAGAAGGACTGATTATTTCTACAATGAAGTATTTAATAACATAGCACTTAACACACTACTTACTAGTATGTGACAATTTCAAATAAAAAATTGAATTGCTTAATTTCATGTATGACTTGTTTACATGTATCAAACAGAGTATGGAAATAATTGAAAATATTGAATCAAATGGCAGTATTTGTTTCATATTTTATTCACAATTTTCTATTAGTCTCAAATTTTTAACAATTCACTTTTATCCACCTCCTAATCAGGGAAGCATGACAAAATAAATGTCACTAATAAAGTGGTCTCAGTTCATTATTTTAGTTTTCCATAGTGCATTAAGCCATGACTGTTATGAGAACAAACAACTGAGTTTACTGACCTGAATTTCATCTCTTATTCTTTAAATTCTTAGAGCAGATGAGCTAATGATCAGAAAAATAATCTATGACTCAACATCTAGTGAGAGCTGGAAAATCACAGCACAGGACAGCAATGGCATGTGAGACATAAACTAATATTGCTACCAGTCTATTTCTCTTGAATACTGACTAATAGTTCTTGTCATTGAGGGGTTATTTTTCGAACAGCTAAGTACACAACAATTCCCAAAGATCGATACGATTCTGAGTGCATTTTTTTTTCATTAGCAATTTATTTAGTCAAATGGTAATTCTTTGGGGTAAGCAAGACCTCAGGAGCCACTCCATGGGCCATGTTCACCCACACTTTCCTCCATTGGCCGTGTGCTTTTCTGAGAACTGTGGGTTACTTCACGTAAGTATTTAGGAACACTCTGCTGGATGTGCCCAAATTTTATTCTAATAATTCTTTGTTTTCAATGCTTTTGACATAATGTCTGCTTAAAGGTCATTTAAATGAAAAACGAGTGTTAACACTAACAAGTGTAATTTTCCATGAAATGCAATCAATATTATTAAACCACCCACACACCAGACACAATATCTTGCATGTCGTGTGTATGTGTGTGTGTGTGTGTGTGTGTGTGTGCGCGCGCGCGTGCTTGTGTGATTACACTTTATTTTCACAGCAAGTTTGCAACTAAATTACTTTTATTTTTTGTAAGGTAAACACAATAGCCCAGAAATTAAATCAGTGTGTAGTAGGCAGGTCTGCTGTGGCTTGAATGTGAAATGTCTCCATAGACTCATGTGTTGCAACATTTGGACCCCGACTGGTACACTGATTTCTAAAGTTGTGGAAACACAATTCTTGCAATTAAAATTCATACCCTGTGTGTGTGAAGAGGGTATATATACGTGTGTGTGTGTGTGTGTGTGTGTGTGTGTGTGTGCGCGTACGTACGCATTTGGATAACATGGAACCTCTTTGAGTGCATGTGGATATCATGGCCCCTTGTGTAAAAGTTGGAGGACAACTTGCAGTACGGTCTCTCCTTCAACCATCTGGACAGAACTCAAGTTCTCAAGCTGGGTGGTAGGAGTCTTCACCCACAGATCCATCTGACCGGCCCACTAGTGGAATTCTTAGAATATGGATTCTTGATGAAGAAATAGGTCATTGGGGACCTTGACACTTATAGTTCAACCCCATTTCCTACTTTCTCCCAACTTACTCACTACAAAAACAATGTGACCCATCATACTTCATCCTATCATACCTTCTCTACCATGATAGAATAGCCTCGGGAACTATAAGCCAAATAAACCCTTTCTTCAATCATTTGCTTTTTTATTCAGGTGTTTGGTCATAGTAACAACAAAATAAACAGAAAAAAAAGTGAGTTCTCAGAAAGTGGGTTTGTTGCTCTGATAAATCAGATAATGTAGAAGTTATTCCTTTGTACTAGGATGCAACAAGATGTGGCCGAGCTTTGAATTCTGGGTCAGAGTACTTCTAACATGTTTTAAGCAGAACATAATGGGCTTTTCTGGTAGCAGCGTGGAAGAACAGAGGCTCAGTTCACATGACTTCACAGGGGAACAAGAACTCTATAGAGAAGAGGGCTAGAGGCCATTAGTGTGGAATTCTGAAAACAAATCTAGAAGCATGTTACCTACACACTCATAACTTTCATGAGACTGAATTTGCAATAGACCAATAGGTTTACTATAAGAAAGTTCAAGGCAGTGTAATATTCAGGTTGTGACTCTGTTACTATTGACTTCTTACACAGGTTTCATTGAGAAAGGGCAACAACTGGAGCAGAAAGATGTGCTCTATTTAATGTGTCATTTGGCGGTAAAGTAAATGAACTTAAAGTCAACGCCTCGGGCGCTGAAAAGCAGCTGCTACTGCTAAACAGATTAGCACCATCAAGAGCAATCAAGTGCTCTCCCTAGGCTCAGCACACAAACAGCTGTTTTTCCCAGCTTGGAGAAGGCAAAAATTTGCAACCTCATCAAATAGTATGAGTTTTGCAAGCATGCAGGATACAAGATTGAGGGGGTCACATCATCTCAAACCCGGGTTTTAAAGGACTACTATGGCCAGGAAATCCATGGCAGGCATGGAGTTTTTAAAGGATGCCATGACAGGCCACTGAATGAAGCTATAATAGTGAAGTTTGGATTGCAGTGGAGAAAGCCAAACATAAGAGACGGCTGGACCCTGGCATGTCCGCTAAGAAAAGCTGTAGCCATGTAAGGACCAGCTCAAGAGAGAGGCTATGTGTGTTCAGGTGGTAGCCATTAATATCAGGATGGTTATTTGACCTGAGCTATTTACAGTACAAGCTTTAGGACATGAAGCTTCAGAATTTCACATTTTCCCCACTAGGCGTGGTCTTACATTGGTAAATAATTCTTTGCTTTAGCCATTACCCTTTGTGAAGGGAAGTACTTAACTGACATTGTATATTAAAAGAATCTTTTTCAGGGACTCACAGTTGAGAAAGTGCCTTGGAATTCAGAAGAGTTTGGACTTTGTGCAGTGTTGGAACTATAACAAAGACAGACTTTTGAAATAGGAACAAATACATTTTGCTTACTAGGAAGTCATGAGCCTATGTAGACCAAAGGCAGAATGTTGCAGTTTGCATATGAAATGTCCCCAAAGACTCCTGTGTTTGAACACGTGGTACTCAACAGGTGAGAGAGCTTAGGAGGATTATGAGCACTTTAGAAGCTGAGATCTTGCTGTAAACCTTGGGATTTAATGTCTCCTCCCACTTCCTACCCACTGTCTCAATTTCTGACTCCAAAACAAAATATGCCCAGAACTCCACACTGTTGCTGAAATGACTTTCATGTAGCGATGTAGCGCCTTCCCTACTGTAGTGCACTGGATTCCTTGGAACAGTAAACCAAATAATTCTTTCCTTCCTTAAACTGTTTTTCGTTAGAGCAAAGTGCCTTATTCCAGACACACATTAGCATTGGAATAAATTAATGAATGCCTTAAAACTTGCTTGTAAGTACTGAAAACTGTGGTGAACACTTTCAGGTCATAGGTATAAATGATTCCTTCCAGAGAGCATCAGCCTTTGATGAGGAAGACTGCAGCAAAGCTGTGAATTTTGCATGTGTTTCTCCATATTAGCATCCTGGATTAAATATGCCACTCAGCTCAACTCAACTGAATCTAAGAGAAGGACCACAAATGACAGCTACTCATTCTGAAAGAGCCTGACAAAACCCCACATTTTTATGAAACTTGAAATTATTCACAATTCATAATAGACAAAAACATTCCTAAACCATAACAACTTAGGAACTATGAACCACATATGCATAAAGAGACAGCCTTAATAATGAAGGGTGCTCCTATTCGGAGGGACTATCAAGCATTTGAACCTGTATAAACAACAGTTAGTTGCTGGATTGTTGACTTCAAAAAGCCTGAACCATTTTCTTTACCCATAACTGAACCCTTAGAATACTAAGGATTGCAAGCATTTTACAAATTTTCATTCCTATTTGGATATAGCAGACTAATCATTTACCTTTCATTAACTGTGATATACTATTTAATTATGTATGCTATATAGTACATTAGTACATAGCAGTAGTTTACCACAAAACAGTTAAATAAAACTATTTTGAGACAGTTAATTATGGTAAAAGTTTTTAAATGAAAATAATTAAAATTTCAATAACCTTGAAATTGAATAAATTGTGTATATTATGTAAACATATAGGGGTAGAAGAAATGGAAAAAGGGTTAGACAAGAGGCCAAATAATATTTTTGTACTGAAACATTGAAAATAAGTAGGACATAGTGGATGCTTTAAAGATATTTTTGCTTTGAATTTTACTTTTATTACTTACAATCATATTTTCCAAGGCATGTTTGGCAAGCCAACAGTTTAGAAAAACTGGGACAAATAGATTCCTTAAGGTAGGCCAGAATATCTGAAAAACAAGCAAAAACTAAACTTTTATCATGCAGAAAGAAATTATATCAAGAGGTTAAAAAGAAACACAGAACAGAATAAAAGTCAAAAAAGAAAGAAAGAGAAGATTTAAAACAGTGCCAAATACTCAAGTCAACACTAATGAATGGTCTTTTATTCGTTGCTGAAGTCTTTCTTAGGGAAATTATTACAGAAGCATAAAGCAAGAGGTTTCAACAGATGTCAGATGTAACCATGTTGAATCTATTATTAAATCTTATAATGTGTTTTTTACTTTGCTGTTCCTCTACCTGAGGTGGTAAAGGTACAAGAGGAGTCTTTTATAACATATCACTGTCTTCTGATTCAGCCACTTTAAGTGATGTTGAGAAGCTGCATTCACTTGTACTGATTATTTAGTTAGCTTGTCATTTAATCTAGTTCCAGGTCTCTTTGGATAAATCACTCCAATTAAAATGTAAGAAGTGAGGGGCAGTTCCAGATAATATCTACTTATTTTCCATTTTCTCCAAACAAAGTCCAAACAGTTCTAATTCCAATAATTATTGCTATATCAAAATGACATCAGAAACTAATTTTATGAATGGCAGACTCAGAGTTATATATGTATGGGACTACAGTGGAAGCATAGAATTGTTGCAGGAATGGAAATTCAGAACTCTGAGGAGGCAGTGGCTATGTGGCTCTCATTCACATTCCTACTAATTAAGAACTGAAGTGGATACATTTTATAAGCAAGCTAGAAATGAACGTTCCCTCAGTATGACGACTGTGGTAAATATTTCAAACTATGAGTATCTATTTTTAAAATTTCACATTACAAATAATGTAATTTTGAGGATCTTTAAACAATACTGACATCTATTCAAATGAGACCTCTGGATAAACTGTATAAATGTTTGAAAGGTTTCATTTTGCTATTGTACTGGAACTTACTAGATTTCATTTAACTATGCAATTCAGACATCATACTGACTTTATTCTTCTTAAGGAGCCAGATTATTATCAAGGTATGAATCCATGCTTCTTAGGCTATATTATGTAAAAGAATTTAGACATAGAGAATTTATCAAAATCTAATGATAACGCCTTTGAAGATGCTGGGACTTACTGAGATAATGAAGGGGACCGCATTGATTATTTCCAAGATGAATGGGATTCGTAAAATCTGTTCCCAGATATTTCCCTACAAATAAATGTTGAATAAAAGCAAAAGTTAGAGAAGTGCCAGGACTCAGAATTTCCTTAGTAATATCAAAACTTTTATTAAAAGAATATTGGATCTGTATATGAATGCAACAATAGCTTATAAATTAATTTTAAGCAGAATTATGCTCTTCGGTTTTGTAATGTTAGAACTAAAGTAGGCCAGGCAGAGTATTTATAACATTTGAATACTAAAATATGCTCTAAAAGAATGTACTAGTAAGTAAAGTATGTTAAGGGGATCTTAAGGTAAACTGACACAATTTATTGCCACTCTCATAAGTGTTCTAGGTCATTGTCATGCAACACAAGTCTTTTATAAATCACGCTTATTTGTTAAATCTACTGGTTTTTTTTAAGTTTAATCAAATATAAAGAGCCATTTAATCATGTATATTCTAATCTCCCAATCTACATTGTGAAACTAATCAAGACTGAATATGTAATTTTCAGAGCTCTGTTAATAATGAATATATGGGGTCTCTTAATTTCAAGGAAAGCTATGAGAACATTGAAACAGTTACAGGGATATTGCTGTTGAAGTTGACCTTGATATTTAAGGTTTGGGTATGGCCTGAATGTGCTTGCCATGTACGAAAAGCTGTATAGAGACTTAATGGGGGAAATGAGTCTAAGGCCCTGGTAAGCAGGGGTCGACATTGAAGGGGATAAATACTGTATTTGTGGTATCACTGTGAATTCCAGCAGGGGAAGATTTTCACAATCAGCGAAAGCCTTGCATGTGAATATCCCTGGCTTGCTGTCTCACCTCTTATACCCTCCAACACACACTTCCATACCATACTGTGATCCAATATACAGGCCTCTAAAAGGGGACCCTTGTAGTGGATCAGTACTGATCCCTAGCATAGGAATGGACTTTGGGAGCCCATCCCACATGCAGGGATACTCCCTGAGCCTAGACACAAGGGTGTTGGCCTAGACCCTATCCTGAAGGATATGACAGACTCTGAAGACCCCCTACAGAAGGCCTCAAGCTCTCTGGGGAGCAGAAAGGGTATGGGAATAGGTAGGGTGTTAGTTGGGGGCTGGAGGGGAGAGGGACTGGGGATTGACATGTAAAACACTCTTCTTTCTAATTAAAAGAAAAAAAAACAATGATAAAATAAAAAGCCAAATCCATCAAGCTACTTCATAGAGGACTCTCAGACTTCAGGACCATATGACAGAGCCACCCCTTCTTTGTGAAATACAGACCAATACAGTATCTAACAGCAAATCCTAAGAATGCCCTCAAACTTTTAATCCATGAAGAGGTCCATGCGTTGGAAAAACAATTGCCCAAATTTTCCAATTATCATATAACATTAGATATAAATGAGGTTTTCAATATTCCTTGAGGTTGCAATTGCTCAGTGTATTGCAGTAGCATAAGTATGTCCCTGCTCCCAAAGCATTGTGCTAGATCATCTATTTCCTAGGTGCTAAGATGTTAAAAATCTCTGTCACATTAGCTCAGAACCCTCCGTCATAGCCAATGTGGTACAGGAGGAAGCAGGTGGGGGATGGGAGCACACTGAGATCTTTTCTGGAAAAAAAAATGTTATGAGTGAAATGATGCCTTTCTCATCACTTCGAACTAAGTGAAAAAGACTCAAAGGAATCACTTAGCTTCATGCAGACTTGAAGCTATATTTAGTCCATGCCTAACACATGAAGAAAAAGAAAGAAAGAAAAAAAAATGAGAGCTAGGCTAAGAACAAGACACAACCCCTTCAATTATGACACTACTTTTGGGGGGAAGGATTCAATACAGAAAATAAGGAAGGAAACTGATCCCTTTTTAAGTGGTTTTTCCCTCAAGAGCTGTGAGCCTGAGATGACAGAGGACTGCAGCAGATGGTGGCCTCAGGAGCCTGAGATCTTCCCTGGACTCTAAGAAGCTAGTCTGAGGCACTGCATGAGGGACCTTCAGCCAAAGCCCCAGCAAGGCCACGGGAGCTCTCACAGAGGAAGAAGAAGCTCTTGCAGTATTCATTCCAAAGAATGTCAGATCAAAAGGCTGTGGAGATAGTGACCACATTGCCTATTGACTTTCTTCTGCTTTGGGGCCCCAAGTCAGGTGGCAGCAGAGTGGAAATGGAAGTGGGGATGAACACCACAATGTGGGTGGTCTGAACGAGGATAATCCATGCTCTGCATGCAAGAAAACTTACAATTATGCATCAACTGCTCCTTCCATCCAATTTGCATGGACCAACAGGAGGGTGTATAGGATAGCCAGATTTTTCCCTACTGACACTGACTTGGTTTTCTCCAAATAGGCAGTTTTAACCGAGTTTACTGATGTCAGGTTATTTTTTTTTACTTTATAGGGTAATATTTTCTATCAGCACGTAAATGATTACTATTCATTTTCCTAGTCCTTGTGACACTGGACAAATTCAATTCATGGTAATGTCTCCTGACATTCACCTCAGTTTAACACATCATGTTTTAAAATGATTTTTACTTGAACCACTAAAGATGCCTTAAAACTAGCAACTTAAAACTGATTTGGCTGGCTTTGTTTCTGAATTAACTCCTATACTAGGGCACAGGTTTCTTTCTAAATTTCTGTGTTCCTGTTGTCGAGAGAATGAAATCCAAACCCACAGTAATATTTCATGAAGACTCACGATTTTAACTCTGGCTACTAGTTTAGCCTGTAGTTAGAACGCTCCTCTCTCCATTCTAAAATCACCCACAGATTCATCCATATTAAATTTTACAGTTCCCTGGACCTGCCAAGCACTTTCCACTTCTGAAACTTTGTTTACATTTCTCCCTCTGGATGCTATGTCTTCCTCCCACGCAAGGGTTTGTAGCATGGATTGTTCTTATTTATGTAGTTACTAGGACTAAAGTAATTAGACAAATGAATAACTGAAGTTGCAATGATTTTATACACCCTCTTCTTTCCTTAAATGTAATGTTTTAATTTTTTAACTGAAATAAATATTCCTTGTCAATAATCTATGTTAAAAGTCCTTGAAAGAAATTTGTAATTGGAAACTTCCCCAGATCTAGGTAAATAGGAATCACTAGATGTGGAAACTATTTTAAACAGAAATTTTCTAGAAGATTTCAAAGTTGCCTACCTGCATGTCATTCTAAGGGCTTTTATCTATGCTTTAGCTATGACTTATAATCAACAATAACCTGTGACATCCAAACAGTTTATCGTCCAGATCAATACCCTGTCTTTGAAATTCTGACTCAGGTCAAATATTCAATCCACTATTGATTTCTTGAAATCATAAATGCAATATGTCCCAAAGCTAAATTTATGCCTTGCTCCCAATTGAACTCTCTCCCTGTAACACAAATCAAGGTATCCTTGAGGATACTATTACATTATGTTTCCCCATACCACACAAATGTCATTAAAATTGGCAAATCAAACATGAAATTTTCCTAGTTCATATTTTGGTTTGTCTTCCCTCTCTCATCTAGTCCAACCTCCATTAGCATCTGTCCACCCATTCCTGCCCACAACACTTTTCCTATACAAGCTTTAACTGTATTATAATACCAAACATACATTGCCAATGTATCCATCCAGTATACCTTCATTCTACTTACTTTAAAACTCTTCAATTATTCACGTTTTAACAAGAAAAATTCCTATTATAAAGTAGAAGGCACTATCTCATTTGGTGTATCTTGAGCACTCTGTATTGTTTAATTTCACTTTCATTACATGTAGGGGTGTGTGTCAGTATGTGCATATGTGCACTTGAATATGGGTGCCCAAGGAGAATAGAAGCATTAGATTTTTCTCGAGTGGGCATTACAGAGATTTTTGTGGACCACCTCACTTGGGTGATGCTCTACTTTGGCAGAGAAGAAAACACTCTAAACCAAGAAGCTATCTCTCTAGCCTTCTCCCCTTATTTAAAAAGCCATTCCAGCTCCCAAGTAACTTTGATCCAGAAAATGTGGCATAGTGGGTGCCCGTGTATACAAGTCTTCAAGAGGTCTTCCTTCCTGACTTCGTTGTACATACTAAATGACTGAGAAGTTTCATTGTTCTTTTGTTTCATTTTGATTTGTATTTCTTGCATCCTCCTGGCATCAGTCGCTCTAGGAAAGACATGGCCCAAAGGCACGTGTAAGGTTTTGATGCAGCTAGCACACTAGAGTAGATGTTAAAGCACATACAGTGATTTTACATAGACAAGACAAGATGCTATCATCTGTTTCTCACAGAAATGCCACAAAGGATGAAGTTCCTAAATAAAGACTAATTACATTATGCAGGCCACATCATGGCTGACTCATTGTTCGTGCGTGCGTGCGTGCGTGCGTGTGTGTGTGTGCTGCAGCAACTGAATGAACTTCCCACTGAGGACTAATTTCTGTGGTCAAACTTTATAGAGGAATAATGTGTTTACAGCTACAAACAAGCACATATATATCTTCAGTTTTATTCAGTTTGCTTAATTCTTATGCCTCAAGTGATCATCTGAAGTAAGCGATGCACTCACAAATTATCTTCACTAAAATACTTAGTAAAACAAATATAGAAAGATCCATGATTCTCACTTGCCATTAGGAATTCCCAGTGGACCTGCATCATAAGAATACACAGGACAAAATTAAATTATGATGAAAAAAGACATCATGCATTGATGGAAAACCACCAGGCAGAGAATTAGAAACAATATCCAAAGATGAGCAAAGTGCCTCTTGAAATCATATCAAACACTTATTTCACCTTCATGATAGGAACAAAAAGCATTTTTCTCCTTCTAAGAGATAACTTGCTATCAAGTCCACATGTGTAATGCCAGGTTATTCTTACTGGCAGAGTTCAAGAAAATGTAAATAAACCTTAATCCGATCATTTCAGTTACTATGGGCATGGTGGTCCTTAAACTGTAGCAAAATCCATGACAGAAAAGAAACTAGATATTATCAACAAGGACAGCAGAAATCAATTCCTAAAAAATACTACACAAGTTGCAGAAATATGGCAACCTAGGCATTCTAAAGCCCAGTCTGAACCTGAACCTTGGAATTACATATAAACATTTTATTCTTTGTGTTTGTTTGTTTTTGAGATTGTATATTAATTATATTTCTCCCTTCCCTTTCCTCCCTCCAAACCTTCGCATATAGCCTTCTCCAACTCACCTTCAAATATATGGCCTCTTTTTTTCCATTGGTTTTATTGCAATTATAAAAGTACTTAGAAATACATATATATTTCTTAATGCAACCTGATGGGTCCATACAATGTTACTTTTGAAAGTATGTTTACAGGGCTGGTTGTTTGGCACTGGACAACTGATCATAGTATTCTTCTCTGGGAAGGACCAACCTCTCCCACTTTCAGTTTTCTTCAGTTGCCTGTAGTTCTTTGTGTAGGATGAAAGCCTTCTGGGGTTTCCCACCTCCATATGGACATTCTTCTTGTTCAGCTCATGGATGGGCAGTCTTGTTGATAGAATTTACTGGTAGTTTCTGATGTTACTGGGAGACACATCTCACAGAGAAGTCCCTCATTCTCTGGCTCTTACAATCTTTCCTCCCCCTCTTCTGTAATGTTCCCTGAGCCTTAGGTGTGGGAGCTAAATATTTTGCTCATAAAGGATAAAAATAAGAATGCTTACTTTGCAAAATAAAAAAATCTGATCGTTTATCTTCTGAATAGATTTCAAATAGTATATAATAAAGCTTACAGCATTGAATCTATGATTTGCAATATAAAAATTTCAAATGTCAAGGCATGGAAAACAAACCAAAGTATTTAGATATCCTTGAATCCATTTAGAAAACACAAGGTTTATTTTTTTCAGATAAGTTATTATGCTGCTATATTTCTCAGAATGAATACATTTTGGTGTAATTATGGAACAAGTAATCACAGCCTTAACAAAAGCTTCTAGGTATAATGAATTTTTATTTGTAGAGGTTTGAAAACCAGGCTGATGTTTGTTTCTGTTTCCCTTTGATTTAATGAATATGTATGTATAAATAGAGTTCTATTTTAAAAGCAGTTGACAAAGACTTAGAGGGTATTTATGGTGCCAGTAGAATAAAAACTTTAGTGTTAGGCAATTATTGTGAGTGTTTTGCCAAGCAGTTATGAACATGAATGGAAGGATTAAATGAGCACAGACCTACACATCTAAATAAAAGAAAACAATGTTCTTCATGCCATGGATTTTAATTCAATATGTACTAATTTCTACATGTTATTTAAAATTTTGATAATTTTGTTCTGGGTATCCATGAGACATTATACTTATTTTAATTGTTTAAAACTTAATTCTTTCTCATTGTAGAATTATGCTTGTTTAATACTTTATTTTTGAATTTTAAATATATAAATATCAATATATTTATACAAATACATACAAGAAATATATGTTCAGTGCCTATTCACATTGCTATCTCATACCTTCAAATATCAAACAATATTAAATATAGACAAATTTAAAATGCAATTAAATACCATTTTTCCTAGCCTGTCTTCTACTTTTTAAAAATCCTACTTTGGAGAAAGAAGCACATTTTAAATTCTTATTTATAGGCTATAAATTATTACCAATTATGATATGACAGACTCTGGGGATCCCCCATGGACAGCCTTACCCTCCCTGGGGAGCAGAGGGTGGATGGGGTGGAGGGATTGTGGGGGATGGGAAAAAAGGGCAGGGAGAGGGGATTGACTTGTGAAGCAAGCTTGTTTCTAATATGAGCTAACAAAAAATAATAATAAAATTATTACCAAATTATTTAATTTATTCATTGCAAAGAAGTTATGCAATACTGTACTGGCTAGGTCAAAAGAGTTCATGCATTTGACTAAATTTATAAGAGGAAAAGAAGATAATTAATAGAAATTTATTCTACTGTCACAAATTTGTTTTTATCTTTTCTATTTCCTTTGTAACTTTTTGGACTTTAACATCTATTGCTCTTCTAGCTAAGCCATTAAAGTTTATGGAGGTCATAATAGGAATATTATATATCATCAAGCCCTGTCTGCTAAGCCTTAAACTGTTCTGCTCTCATTTTGTCAATGATAGGAAGTAATTAATTATGAATGTCATCATCATATAATTGCAATGGAAAATTATCCTGAACCTCTTTGTGTATTTTAAATGACTTCTTTAATCAGAGATGGGAGACTTTTTAGCAAAGCAGAAAAATAATTTTCATATTACCTTTAGTTGGAATTGGGAGGAAATAAAGAGTCACAATGTATATTAATATTTGTCTGTTATGTTTCTTTAAATAAGCATGCACAAATGAAAGAGACATGACTGATAAAATGAAAAAGCCCACATGCCTACTGAGTTAGATTTAAGTCTCCTATGCCTTACATTCAACATTCACTACACAGCTGAAGATTAAACAATTTTAAATACAATTCTAGTTTTTCTATTTGGCACTTTAGGTGACTGAGAATCTGTTCATCAGTACAAACTTACAGTACACATTCTCTGCTTGTTTGTTAATTTAATTTCATACATTCTTGTTCATCAGGTTTCACTCAGAGAAACTGATACTATTTTCTAGGAATTTTAGATAAGACTAATGAAAATTTAAATAGAAATAAAGTAGACCTAGAAGAAACAGTGACTGGGTTTGTAAGTACTAATTGATCAAAATTGGGGTTGAAATTTAGGAAATAAATACTTATGTTGTATTCTTATGTTGCTCAGTGTGACATAAAGCAAAAGTAGTACTTTCTATCTCCACTTTCCTTTCTGTCTTCAATTGCTATGTACTCTCTCTAAAACCTAAACGGTGATGAGCTCCATGCCTCAAGTCCTTGGATTCTATTTTGATGTTTATTCTTTACCTGAGAATTCTCTGACTCCCTTTATCATTTCTGTGAACATGACCAGAGTTTTAATGAAACATCTAAAGATGACAGTCTTCACTCTCATGTATTTTAATATCATGCCTTTCTGTCCAGCACCAGGTCACAATCTACAAAACCAATTCTGTTCAATCTAGATCCTATCTACATCCTTTCGTTTCCTGCAACCATCAACACTGCTTCTTATTTTTGATTTATGTTGTACTTATTTGTGTAATCTCCTATATCATCCCATTCTCTAGATTTGTAAACCCATTGAAAAAACAGGCCATGAAGTGTAGAGTTCATTAAATAGGAGCACTTCATAAATACTTGATAAACTGTGTTAACTGAACTTCACCAGTAATTAAAATAATTTATTAAACAGAACTTCACCAGTAATTAAAATAATTTATTAAAATAAGCCATAAAAGATACAATTGTTTTTAATTTGTTTAAGAGATTGAAAACAATAAAAATGAGTACCATTCCACTGCCTCAATAGAAGCATGCCTATAATGGGTAAGTAAACACACAGGAATTAGTGAAGTACTTCTAAGACACCAAGAAAATCCTAAGATATTACTGCAGTTTTTTTTTTTATCACATACTAGAGAGGCTCTGAATAATTAAAGTGGTTTAAGAAGAGCCTGCCTTATCCCCAAGTCTGAATTATAAAGAAAAAGAAAATGTGGTAAATGTTAGCAGTGAGTTAGTTTGCAGCAGAAAACTAATTGGACTGTCTTACCTTATAACTGAGATAACCAAGGAGTATTGTTTCAAATAGACTGATCAATGCCACAGAGACCTAAAAACAAATTGGAACCTAATGAGAAAATGTAAAGTAAATAAAATAGGCTTTTACAATGTGCTAGTAACCGTAAATGAGTATGTGAGAAGGTATACATACATATAAATATCTGCATATGGTATTTATAGATACACACATATAAGTGGTACTAGTACTTAAATTTCAATCAGCAGGTAAAGAGAGGGACACAATATTTTACCACCTCATGTTTTCATAATCTCACATATTTTTCTATTTATTTATTCATGTATTTATTTATTTTGGCTTTTTAAGACAGGGTTTCTCTGTGTAACATCCCTGGCTGTCCTAGAACTCGCTCTGTAGACCAGTCTGGCCTGGAACTCACAGAGATCCACCTGCCTCTGCCTCCCGAGTGCTCAGATTAAAGACTTGTGCTGCCACACCCAGCAATTTCACATATTCTTAATGAATATTGTTAATTCCTTGTCCTAAATATAAATGTGGGAGTTAAATATTCAGAATGACGAAAGTGGGAAAGATCTATAAAGATTAGGACCACACATAATTACTTTTCCCAATAACGTCACTGTTTAAATGAGTATTTCCCTTCAGAAAATCAAATACATTGTTCAAACTGAGTGCATGGAATAATTTCATCTACTTCAGGCAATATATAATTGCCAACATCCTCGAATATACTGCAAATGGGCCATTTCAGTCATGCAAGCTATTTTGAGATTACATAACAATTCTGTGACCAATTGTGCTTCTCAGATTCAAAATTCTGGTTTTGTGTCATTTGAGACAAGAGCCTTTCTTTGCTTGCTCTGCAGTATATGCATTTGTTACTGTTCCTGTCAGGACACATCAAAACAGAAAAGTAGGTAAAGAAATATGGAAATTTTTCCTCAGTGACGTTTCATTTACTATAGAAGTGAACCATAGTATGTTTTCTTTTTGTGATACTGAGGAATTGAACCCCAGGCCTCTCCAATTTTAGGCAAGTGTTCTCCCACTGAAAGACATATCCTGCCTTCTCATTAGTAAAATGGAGATGAGAATGAAATATGCAAACACACAGGAAATGAGTCAAATAACTATACTTGTTGTATAATTAAGATTTAAAACACTTTAAGCCTTGGTTTTTTCCTTGTGGTTTTACATTGTATTCCTACTAAAATGAAACTCTTGAATTTAAGTGAACTGTAAATGTTAGCACAACGAAAACAGAGGAATGTCCACCAATGCATGTAAGATCTAGCCATGCACTCAGGCATGTAGCTGGTTATTTTTATAATAGGAAGCTAAGAATATTTTTATTTTCTCCACATTCTTTCATGTTTTTCTCTGCTGTTTTCTAAAAGCATATTGCTACATGAGCTCTAGAAAACTCTAACATGTATTTTACTTATTACTAAGAGTAGAATTTAAATTAAATAAAAGAAATTTCAGGAAACTATATGGCTTTGTGAATTATTAATTCATTCTAAATTTTTATTAAAGAATTATATAGGATTTATAAGAGAGACTATAGGCCTTATTTTAATGGACAGGCATTAAATATTTGGGAAGGCATTTGGAAAGGATATTTGTATAGCAATTGGCACTGCATGAGAAGCCAGTGTAAATCAACATAATTAAGTTCACTTAGTTGTAGGTATCATCAAACAACAATTTCAAAATCATTCACTATCATACATTATGTGAAAAGTAGAATTTGCATGGCATTTTAGAGCACTCAAACTCCTGATCTAGATAGAAATGTACTAAAAGTGAACACAGGCAATGAATCATAAAATTTTTCCTGCAACCTTCAATTCTTCTTTATGTTATCGACCCTAACTTCCATTTAATTTGCCCTTTTAAGAACTAACAAAGCTTTTTTTAAAAAAAAATTCTATATCACATAAACATAAGGAGAAGTGACAGGATCTTGAAAAAAAAAAAGAAACTTCTGTGCACCAAGACTAATAGAAACAATAATTAAGCCTAGGCGGCTGACTCTTGGGAAGCCTGGTCTATAATTGAGACATAGACAGTTTCATCTTGTCTAGGGTTTTACTTTCTTAAGACTCCATTGGCCTCTAAGCTTATACATTCATTTACTTAATTCTCCCACATTCCTCCAGATAAAAAGGACTCACAACTGTGGTGTTTGACCTTAAAGGATTTACACAAGCGAGTCATGGATGTAAAGTATCTTGGAAGACAAGGAGGGTTGAAATACTGCTTTGCTTTTTTGTTTATTTACCTATTTTAATTTTCCAACACCCTCTGATGTCTAATGCAGATTGCAAGGAAAATCTCAAAGGTACAATGCAAGACTCAGGAAAACAAGAAGAAATAAGTTAAAATGTTAGCCTATGATGTACGTTAAAGTTAGCAAATATGGCAAACTCAACTTGAACATCAACAGTGCACTTCCCAATACTGTTTCTCTGTGAAATATTAATGAATCCAGAAATATAAGAATAGAATAAAATTGTACTAACCTGTAAGCCCCATAAAGGTAGACTTCTGTTAACCCAAAATATGTGAGACCTACAGGAAGAAAAATTAAAATGTCGATACTTTTACTGTGAAAAAGTCCATTTGTTTTAAAATTTTAATTATATTTGAAAATATAACAGTAGCAATTAGCATAGAAAAGATAATACAATATAGAAATAGCATGAGAAATATAAGTATAATGTCCTGGATACAACATTTTTACTAATATTAATTTATACCCAATAAAAACACGTCATATTTTAATTTACTTTTATATCACTGTTAATAGTAAATGATAAATAAAACAAGCCATTATTTAGAATAATATGTCAGGATAGGTACATCTCAAAATCCAAAAAGTCATTAATGGATCTTCTAAAAATGCTAAGACTTTGTTATTTTAAAAGTATTTGAATAATGCACAATGATCAACATAAACAATCAGAATGAAGACAGTAACTAAAAGTCTAAAGTACATGAGTAGCTTATATTTGCATTTCTATAAAACACATTTAATTGTATAAAAATCAAGGTGACTAAAGTCAATATAGACTATATGTAAGAAGATGTCCTTCTTACATATAGGTGAAATAATTGTTCTTAGGTGTGTTCTTGAACTGTTAGTCTTTCTGATAGTAGCAAACTGTTTAAACTCTGATGAACACTGGAACAGAGATAACATAGCACTTATTATACATGTAATTGACTGAACTGGGAGTCATTCAGAAAAATAAAATCTACTAGGAAAAGATGAAAACTATTGCAATTTCATTTTTCATGAAATGAACATAAATGTCTAGTACAGCCAAAACAACCCACTCTTTGAAGTCATGCAAAGTGAGAAGTCTCATAAAGCATTAAATGTGTTTCCAAACACTGAAATTCCTTTTCATAGTATGTAGAATAATAAAGAGAGCCATAAACTCTTCCAATTTTGTTTACTTAAGAAGTTTAAGAGACTGCAGAAAGCCACTGTGTTGAACATTACTACATAGTACTCTTGAGTTTCACAGTGGCACATCTATATGGCTAACTGACCTCTTCAATTATTCCATCTAAGGATTTCCCCTCAAAGTCTGTTGTCCTATTACCATTGCCGATTTGAGAAAGTAGCCTGGAGTCTGTTGTGTCTGCTCTCAGACACTCTTCTCTGCATTTTCTAGCACTTAACCCATTAAGCAGTAAACCACTTCAGTACTCCCCACCAAGTACATGTAGAATCAATCTACTTTAATCTTCACCACACTGACACTTTCATCGAAGATCCTCCCCATGGGGGCAAGGCAACCCACTCTGAGGTTTTCAATTTGGCCCTTTTGACACCATACTAATGTCTAAAAACTGTCAAAATCAACTCATTTGCCATCTATAATTTTTAAATTGGAATTGTAGTAATTTTTCATTAAAATAAAATTTGGATCAGATCACTCTACCATACGTACCTTTTTAAAATAAAAATTAAACTGTAACATATATGCAGAGTGCCTAGGTCAGTCCCATGCAGGCTACCTGTTTGTCAGTTCAGTCTCTGTGAGCCCCTGTGAGCCCAGTTTAGTTGTTTCTGTGGCTTTTCAAGTGGTATCATTGATGCCTCTGGCTCCAACCATCTTTTTTTCCTAAGCTCTGCCTATTATTTGGCTGTATGTTTGCATCTGTTTGTATCAGTTGCTGGATGAAGCCTCTGACGACAAGTGGGCTAGGCACCAATTCCAGCACAGCAGGTAGAAAAGATAGACAGTAGGTGGAATGTTAGTTATATAGCTGGCTTGGTTTCCCACTTCTTCTTGTGGGATTCTTAACAGTGGGAGCAGGACTGTCACTGACACTTTTATTGGCTTTTGAGACCCTACTTCTCATACTTGCCTTGCCTACATGGTGAGGTGCTTAGTTTTATTGCAAACTGACATGCCATGTTTTGTGGAAGAGTGGATTGGAGGTTGGGGACAGAGTGGGGGTGCAGCAGAGGGACTGGGAAGAGAGGATGGAGGGGAAATCGTGGCCAGGATGTAGAAGGAAGGAAGGAAGGAAAGTAGGAAGGAAGGAAGGAAGGAAGATAGGAAGGAAGGATTAAAACTCTTGAAATGGAAGTCTTTGGCCGTTTTCTGTGTGGGATTTGCTCCTTCCTCACTGAAGCCCCTTTGGTGTGTTCTCTCATCTCTTAACTCTCTTCAGAATCGGTTACTCAGGGAACTCTCCGAAGACTTCCTTACCAATGCTGATAATTCGTCTCTTTGGCTTTGTTATTTCTCAAATTTCTCCTGCAACTCATTATGACTGAAATTTCATATTTATTTGAAAACGTGGTTACCTAATGGCTATTTCCCCCATATTACAACATCTACAACAGCAAATGACTATGCCTGTTTTACTTACTATTATAAACCTGGTACCTCACTGAGTGTAAACACACTGCAGATTATCCAGCCAATATGAATGATAGATCGGGTCAACAAAAGACAAAGCAATAGCAGTGACTTCACCATCCTTCACCAAACAATTCTTGTATTTTCACTAACACTTGAGAAACAAGAAATAAAACAAGTATGAAAGATAAAAGGAAGATATTTGTTCAGCATTAGCTCAGTATTCATCAGTGCATGCAAAAGACAGGGGTGCAGAGATGGGTCAGTCGTTAACAGGGTTGTCTGCTATTTCAGAGGACTGTGATTCAATCCCAGTGCCCACACAGCAACTCAGCAGCAGGAGATCTGACTACCTCTTCCCGCCTCTGAAGGCAACAGGCACACATATGATGCAGAGACATACATAAAGGCAGACCACCCACACATAAAATAATAAAGTAAAATTAAGACCAAAAATTTAAAAATTAATACAAAAGACAATAATTTGGCAATAAAAATAAACTGCTAAAAAGAACACAGATATTTTGAAAAATAATTGATAATTATCATGGCTACAATAAGCTATAGTTATATCAATGGAGAAATTTTTAAGGTTGTGATTGTTTCTTGGAAAACCATAGAAAGAGACCGTGGAATACTTAACACTTCTAAATTGAAATGAGACCTGAGAGCATTATATCATGTAAGTTTTATAATGTACTTAAAGGACCTATAAATCTCTAATACATGATATGAAATCAATGTTTTGGATCAATTTAATATTAAATTGAATATATAAAAGTGTACTTTTTGTAAAAAGCTAGCATGAAAACTATTCTTTGTAAAATTGATGTGTCATGGAGAAAAATGAGTTATTAAGCCTACAAATTCCTAGATAAACCCCAAACAAAGGAGAGACAAAATCAGATCTGACAGCCACAGTAAAGTGACACAGAAAGCTTCAACCCATTGATAATAAAAGTGGAAGGAGAGGAAAAGTAATAAAATATTTATAAATAATATTTACTACAGTAGTACTTGTAAGAGGAAAGTAACTGGAATATATCTGACAACCCAACAACCAGACATCATGATCACCAAGATGGCAAAGTAATTCATGAACAATGACTGCTATTCACATACATGGGCACGTACCATGTGTGTGCACACAGAAAGAATCCATGTGAATTCAACACCAAATCATAAATAGAAAACAATTACACTTTTTAGAAATACAAGTAATTGAAATGAGACAATAAAAGAAAATAAGGAAAAGTAAATGCACATAATTTATGCTTAATCTGACTATGCAAGTAGGCCATGCATTAAGCACTATTAAATTAGAAGAAGAACCATACCAAAAGGAGCAGAATCAAATTTTAAAACCTAATTCCATACAGGTGCAGCACCTTTTCCCATAGGCTTCTCTTACATGAAGGACCATAAATGCCCAAAATACCAGATGAACCTTGGCATGTGAAGTGAGTTCCAGGGGGTGGCATATTCAGAGCAAGTTAGCTTGTGAAGCATAATTATGGACAGAGTCAAAGACAAGCTCAAAGAGCTCTTCCTAGTCCTTCAAATTACTGATGAATACCTGTCTGTACTCTGCAGTGCCTAAACCAAGCCATTGAATTAAAAACTCCCTAGTCCATAACATATAAGAGAAACTAAGCACTTGGTATAGTACTAGGCTTACACTGCTAGGACATTCACAACTTACTACTGACCAGAATATAGAAGCATTATAGAGTCTGCTAGCCTCCATACTAGAAAAGTTTTTCAGTAACAGAACCTTGTAAAACCTAAGAAATAAAAACCCTAACTCCAAATAATACAAGCAATAATTTGGCATGTCAACAATGAACCTGCTTTTGAGAAAATAAACCCCCAGAGGCTTTTGATGTGCCGGCTGTGACAGAGGTGGCCTTCATTCATTGTGAACATGCTTCCTCCCTTCCCAAGCCACCTGAGCCAGACACTCATCTCAGTGCTGTCAAAGTCTGATGATATGACTGAATCTCTTGTAAGATACTTCTCTGAAATTCCAGTCAAAATGAAGTTGGTTAAGTTTCAAGAATTTTAAAAGTCTTGTTTCTTCTTCATGAATGTAGGCATTATTATCTATGCTATGATACCATTGTGTGTTTTTTGTGTGTATGTGTGGTGTGTGTGTGTGTGTGTGTGTGTGTGTGTGTGTGTGTGTGTGTGTGTGTGTGCGCACGCGCGCGCGCGTTGTAATATATAGAAAAGTTTTCAACTTACTGGGAATATCAGCATTAGACATTTTCTTAAGAAAAAAATTACATTTCGAGATTTTGTGTTCTATTAGTTGGTGCTGTCTGAATCTACACAGTAGCTACATGGGGAAGAAAGCATGGCTATATTATAATATTCATTTCTATAGATAATCAAATTTGAAAAAAAGCTGGCACCTGGTTGTGAAGGTGCATACCTTAAAACAGCACTCGGGAGACAGAAAAAGGAGGATCTCTGTGAGTTTGGGACAAGCCTGGTCTACAGAGTGAATTCCAGAACATCCAGAAATATAAAGAGGGGCCCTGCCTTGAAGAAAAAGAAAAAAAGCATTGCCACAATTCTGTTTGTTCTTTGAATACCTGTTGTCATTAGATAGGAATAATCTTTTAAATCGTATCACACCAATGTTATATTAAGCACCAAGTGCAAATTCAAAAATTTCCAAAGAACCTTCAGTGCCCTTTCCAGAAGCTCCAACAAAACTATGGGGAGAAATAGTTTATTTTAGCTCACAATCCGAGGGTTAATTTTGCAGAAGCAGCTAGTCACACACACAGTCAAAGCAGGGAGAGAAGGAGTGTTCAGCTGGCTTTACCCATTCTGTACAGCCTAAGACTAAAATCAAATTACTGTTGCCACCCACAATGGGCAGGTTAACATAGCCCAATTAACATAAGCACAGCATCATCACAATTGCTTACAATCCTTTATTGAGGCTTTCTGTCTGGGTGACACTTGATTGTTTTGTAAAATAAAACTAACTGCCAAGATGAGCTTGCTGACTTTGATCCTGCTGCTTATTACCACTACCACTGCCAACAATGATACTAACAATCAGAATCGCTTAAACATGTTCAAAAGTCAAAACAAGGGTGTGTATTTAGATAACATTGAAATGGAAGCTTCTACAGACCCTGAGGAAACATAGCTCTTCTTCTCATATCGTCCATAAATACACAAAGCAGTCTCCTACACTACAACCTTGAAATCCTTAGCTACACACCACATAAATCAATGTTTAAAGTATCCATGATGTCAAACATATACAGTAAAAGTATTTGCCTGTCTTTCTGTTCGCCCATACTGCAATAGCTTCATATCAGTTTGATTCCTGGGAGAGGCTTAAAAATAAAGCAAAGCAGCTCAAAATATCTCCATCCTTATCAGGTCATAACTATAATTAAATAAATCTTGTTGTGGAATTAGCCTCATTATTTTAAAATAGAGCCTGTACCCATAAAGGACACTTCTGTTTTTCATTAACCAAGACTGCATTGACAATAGAACTAAACAAAACAGTGTACTTGAATTGGAGACATAAGTTAGTTTATTATGGTTTTTAATTACAGTAATCTAGTTTTTCAAATGTATATCCTCTGTAATTATGACTGAATATTCTTGGTAATATTACACAGAAGTTAATTGTAGGAAACTTTGTTCTCTTAATGTTTCCAAATAATCTAATTGTATTCTGCTGTCATTTCACCAATGGCTTTTTCCTTTGGGAGCATCCTTTATGGACGATTTTGAAATTTTCAGGTCTCTCTGATGTACATTCTATTCATAAATAACAAAGTTTTAAAAGCAACTTTAATATTTTATATAAGGATGCTTTGGAGGTAGTATTTTAATGACACAAAGACAGAAGCATGTAATAAACTCTCGGTATATACTGACATCTCTAAACATTGCTCATCATATAATCTTCACTGGAAACACATCAGTAAAATTTGTGGGCATAATTCTATTAGCAGAGAATTCTATCAACAGAACTCCCAAGACCTATGATAAGTATGAGACAGAACTACAAGACAACATGGCTCTTGATCTCAGCAAACTTCTAGATAAGACAGAGAAATGGATGGGAAATGTAAGAACAATGCATTAGGGTGTCTAAGAGAAATATCTGGAAGTTGTGCAGACAGTACTACAGAAGCCTCCCAACCAGAGTAGAACTTGGCTACAGAGAACGATGCCAAGTACGGACTTCATATTTAAATATTAGTCAAAGAGTTGATATCCTGGGGGTTCCAGGATCACAAAAAAAAGTTTAAAGGGATCAATTTTGAGTTGCATATAGGGAAAACACATTTCTAAGAAGTCTCAACATAAAGGCAGGCACAGAATATCCTAGTGATTCTAAGGAGGTCACCATATAGACTAATGAAGTGACATAAGCAAGAGTTAGAATATAAAGTTATGTCATTTTCATATCTGTTCACTCACTATTTAGAAAATGTCTACTGTTCACACTGCCAGCTTCTGCAATTCAGACAATGACCTATGTCTATCCTAATACTCACAAAAACTCAGGAAGTATAGTGAGCAAGAAAAAAAATGTACAATATGTAAAAGGCACTAAAGAAAATAAGCAAATGTTTCTGGAGATCTTATAGGGACAAGAAGCCCCATCAGCCAAAGCCTATGTGAAGCTCTGGAGCTGGATATATGCCTCCTGTGACCTAAGAATACAAACGAGGGTCAAGTCACTGTTCAGTAGGAATTACCACCAGCAATGGAGACAGAGGTGACTAGGAGGGATTTTGAGGATATTGTTCTTCATTGTGGAAGGGAAGAAGAGTACAGAAGATGGTTGGAATGTGGTGAGAATGCATTGTGGACAGCCAGGTGAACAATCTGGAATGGTAAGTACTTGAAACATGGGGGAAGGGCAGGCATTGTCCCCCATGGTCACTGGAAAATTGGCATGATAAAATTTGTCAAGAAGGTCCCACAGCAAAACTAGCAAACATGAAGGAACCCTCTGCTTCAGGGATTTAAGAATTACATGGTAAAATTAACTGTATGGAAAAACATATAGCATGAACTAAATCTAATGCTAGAAAAGCAGGCATGAGATGCAGGCATGCTTTTCACAGGCATGGGATTCCTGCAAAAAACTGAATGTTTCAAAGAACTTCTCTCTAACCTCCCTTACAGTAGTATGACTGAGATAGACCATGGATTCACTAGAGTGATTCACCATGATTCAATTTCATAAATAATTAGCACACACACTATTTCAGTAGCAAAACTTGATTTATTCACTTAGAAATCCTCATCTGATGTCAAAAACTTTAAATAAACTTAACTGGACACTCATTTTCTAAATAGGCTGGATTACCAAATTGGGTGTGTGCGCGTGCGCGCGCGTGTGTGTGTGTGTGTGTGTGTGTGTGTGTGTGTGTGTGTGATGTATTTTTGTTTTGTCTTAAAGCAAAATTTTATGAGATAAACTTATAAGAGAAGTTAGTTATCAAATTTTAGTTTCTCCTTTGAATATCATTGTAAACTTACTAGGTAGGCCAAGAGACCTAGGTGTGAATGAGATCAAAATTATGTATGAATGTCATTTCACACTGAGGCCTCTTCCCTACTGTTCTTGCAAAGGACAAAGCCTAAAAGGAAGGCAATAAGTTAGCATAAATATGTTAAGCAAAGTAAGAAGATTGTGAATGAAAAAAAACCTAAAATATATCAATAAATTGCTATCACTTAACTAAATAAATATTCATAGGTAGAAACCCTCTTGAGTGTTTCCACTGGAGGGTGAGAAGTGCATTATGATAGAAAGTGTGAAGAAAGTGGGCATATTGTAGAGTGTATGTGATTCAGTAACAGAAAGGCATTCAAATTTGTAGTGAGATGAGCCCATTTTATGATAATGTTCAAAGCATTTTGACTAGTAACCATGCATTCACAGAACAGAGTTCAGATTATCTGTAAACAGTAATATACCCACAAACCTTAGAAGATATGAACTACCCATCAGTTCATACAAATGTCTCACACCCTTTAAAATGGGAATAACATCCTGCAAATTACAATAATTCAAAACAATTAAAATACTGTGGTGATCACGCAGAGAAACCTTACCATTCATTTCCCTGTGAAGGTTTCTCAAGCAGCACACGGATAATGTATAATAAGCAGCTTAGCAATTTGAGGGAAAAGTTGAACAAGCGGATTCTTAGACCTTTAACAAACAACAAAATTTGGTTTTCATTTGAACTAAGCACATAAAAGTGAAAGAAAAAAAATTGTCAAAATTATCAAATTTCAGTACAGCAGTTAGAAGGTATTTAGAAAGCACAAACTGTGACGTCTAAACTTACTGGCATTCTTGGTGGCTGAATTTTAATCATCCAACTACTAAAATAAAATGTGAGTGTCATAGAATCAGTGAACTACAAATGACAGGGGTCATTCCACAGATTGGAATTCGGATTTTAAGAATCACAAGCAACAAAATTAACATTCAGTCAAGATTGGGTCAAGTCTGTGTACAACTTTAAGAACTTTAACCAATGCTTGGAGACTAACTTCAACTAACTCAAAAAATCAAGCTGGCCCCCAAATACACCATAATATATCCTATGACTCTGTAGCAGCTTGTTAATTTCATTCCAGATAGAACTTGTTTATATAATTATGTGTGATACTTTTGCTGTTATGTTTATGCTATGGCATGTATCATTGCTACAATTACAGGTTATATAGTAATTATATCATCATTTAAAAAGAGAAGCCATAATAACTTGTGCCGATAAATACATCTATAGACAAACATTCTTTCTCATCCTGAATTGGACAAATTGAACTTTTTAAACGAGGCTTAATTCCAATGGAATCTTAAATTTTGTGAAAATTAACAGCATCATTTCTGTGTCATACAAACTGCTTAGGTCATAGTTGGAAGAAGCATGATACTTCATGAAGAAGGTTAAGCAAACATACCCTGAATTGATTAATAGGCACACTGCCATTCCTGTAATCAGTGATTTTTCTTTATGTATCTTTCATAAAATTATGAGAAAGGCCTTCCAATAATTATTAATGGATGGAATCTAAGATGAAATGTTACCTTTTTAGCCTATCTTTGTAAAATGTATTATAACATTCCTTAACAGCAAATTTAATTATGCAATCATTTCTAGTTTTTCTTATTAAAGTGTGTGTGTGTGTGTGTGTGTGTGTGTGTGTGTGTGTGTGTGTGGTTTCGATCTTTAGTTTCAGCTCTGTTGTTGCAATAAAACATTCTGAACAAAAATACCATGGGGTTGAAAAAGGCTTATTTCATCTTATAACTTACAGTTTCATAAAAATGGGTAAGGTGATTATTCAGATAATGACTGGCCTAACACTGATTAATGGTATTGAGGAGGCCTTCATTCATGTGAGTTAACCCCTTTACACAGTATCTACTGAAAAGTTTTTCACAGAAACTGAAAACAAAGTTAGGAAGACATTAATTCTTCCTAACTTTAACCCTGAAACTACTCTACTATTGAGAAAATCTCACTAGTATGATTTAACTACTGATATATTTCCTATAGGCAGTATATGGATATGCCCTCACAAACCAGGATTCTCTCTCTGATTGCCACCTGCTGACACACAATTTAGTTTAGAACAGTGCAAACACATCCGGGGATTAAAAGCCACAGCACCAACTCTATGCTGGTATAGTTCAGATCTCTGTTTCTTACATTGTAAGCAACAATCATGTTCTGAACTGTCTGACTGGCATGTAGGATTGTACAAAACAGCAAGTATCACATACACTTCAACCTAGGTAGGGTTCAGCAGGGTTCCCAATTTCATATTCTCTGTGTCTTCAGTGGCTCCTAATTTCTTAATAAGAATCCTCAGGATGTTAAACTCTGACATTCAGACATTCACGCTATACTTATATATGAAAGTTCTTCCTCCATAGGAAGAACAACACCCATGCATACACTTCAGGGTACACTTGACATTTGTTATCATTAGGAGTGATTGGGAAACAGTAAATTATTCCCTTATTAACTAAGAAAATGATCTGCCATTGTGACAACTCAATTTGGTGAACGTTGACAATGATAGTTTACACATTCTTCACATGTAAAAGTTGGAGTTAATTAAATAATGGGGTAATGTTGTTGTTTAGGAGAAGTTTTTGAGACAGGTTCTCACTCTATAATCTAGGGTAGCTTGCTAGTTATTCTGTAGCTCTTAAACTATCCTCAATATTTCTCTCTATCAGACAATGACCATTACTTTTTAAAAGAATATTCTTTGACTGTTTCCTATAAGCATATAGTGTACTGTCATCATTTTCACCCCAGCTCTTTTGTTTCCCCTTTAATCTTGCTCAGCCTCTTCTTTCCCCCCAACATGATCCCCTTCTACTTTCACATGTCTTATTTTACATTCCAAACCCTTTAGATTCATTGGGGTTACTTGCCTGAGTATGGGTCAGGGGTATATCCAGGAGTATGACCATTCTCCAGTGGATACACTACTGAAAAGAAAATGACTTCCCTATCTGCAACACCCTTAACTGCCATATCAGGGAGCCATAAGACCTATGAGCCCTCCACCACACATATGCAATCTTTAAGGTTTCATGACCTTGACTTTCTGATCCTTCTGCCTCATCCGGAGTGCTGAAATTAAAGGTGTGCTATACTTAAACTATGGTAGTATTTTTCAGAATTCAGGCAGGGCACGAGGCTCTCCATATTCATGTGGGATTTAGAGATTTAAAATATTTAGAGACTTAAAATAGAGACTTTTCAACTACTAGACGTAGTATATTCTGTTTTGCTTTCATTTTTTTTCATTTACTCCCAAATAGTCTCCCCACTTTATTCTGTTATATAGAAATGACTTTATGAAACATTATACATCTGGAATTTTGAGCTAGGTTCCTATTCAAAGAGCAAAAGAGAGTGATGGAAGTAACTTACTCGATCGTTGGTTTTTTATGAAAAACAGTTTTAATCTCTCTTTAAATGTGTTTTCATTCATGTAGAATTCAACTTGAACCCTGAAAGCAGAAAGTAAAAACAAATTTATTTAAGCTCATTGCATCTTTATTTTTATGGAAATGAATAGAAACAGACATTGCAGTTCACAAGATTATGTAAAAATAAAACTATTTGAATTAATGCATCACATATTTGGAGTGAATTTTATGCCATAGAAAGTGAGAACTGAGTAAAATATTTTAGTGCTATTTCAGAAAAAGAAGTGCTTGCCTCCTAATTTTAAATATCATGCAGTTAATTATCTAAATTACCGAGTTAACAATTCACATAGATGATTCCAAAGAAAACATTAATTTTTAAGCTTAATAGATACTTAAAATGACCCCTCCCCCAAAAGAATCATTTTCTCTAATATTTTCCTTGTATAAGAATGAGGATTATAGGAGTCAGAGGGGGTCAAGAATATCACAGGAAAACAGTGAACCTGAGTCATAGGAACTCACAGAGTCTGAACCAACAACCATGGAGCCTGCAAGGGACCGACTTAAGCCACACAAATGTAGCATGGTCTACTTATGGGACTCCTGACAGTGTGAGCAGGGGCTGTCCCAAACACTTTGGCTGGCTCCTGGCAACTTATTCCTCATACTGGGTTGCCTTGCCCAGCCTTACTACGTGGGGAGGAATTTAGTCTTACTGCAATTTGATATGCCATGCTTTTTTGATTCCTATCCATAGAAGACCTGTTCCTTTCTGAACAGAAACAGAGGAGGGTTGGGTTTGGGAGGGCAGCGAGGAGCTGGGAAGAGGGAATGGGAGGAATGGAGGGAGGGAAACTGTGGTCAGGATGTAAAATACAAATAAATTTAATTTAAAAAAGAATGAACTAGATTTTACCTTCAGGCTGTGCCATCAATGACTCACTTATAAGGCAGGACTCAAATATCAGATTGTTAATTTTTAATCAGGCCCTTTACTCATCTAGAACCTATTTAGGGCACAGGTGAGTTAACACTTTCCTTTCTTATACAGTTATTTTTGTCTTATATTTAAATGCATAGAGATTAGTAAGGGGGTTCTAATGAGCAGCAGCAGGTTAAGGTTACATATTACAAAGAACCAAGCCCACTGAGGGCAAAATGCCATGCTTCATCTACTCTGAAATGAAGCCAACCATTCCCAGTAGAGGACCTTTGTACCTCATCGATTGCCATCACAGAACTGCACCTTTCTATTTTATGTATGGGCGCTCTCAATAATATCTCTCATGTTATATGATGCAAATGATATTTTTAAATAGTGAAAAAGAAATTCTGTCCAGTGCAGAGTGATTTGTTAACAGTCAACAACTGCCCCAGTTTCGAACATATTCATTATGGGTTTTGATTCCAAAGACAGTTAAGACAGAGTTTCAGTGCTTACACAATCAAATTTTTCTCTGGATTTTCCTACAATCACAAACTTTTGAATATGTAATCTGCATGTCCTTAATATATTCAGCAGCTGGTTTCGTTGAATTTTTTTTTAAAGAAGACATGTGTGACAAAAAGCAGAAAGAAGAAAGTAAGTGACACAGAATGTTGTGTGTTACAAATATGCTATGATGTTTTACAATTCCACAATCTCACTATTCTACATATTTAGGAAGATCCATGGTAGCTAAGAAATAAAAATCAAACTCTTTGCTGCACAAAAGGTTTTTTCTTCATGATTATTCAAATTTTATACAATTTAAAATTTTATATTCTCTAACTTTTGCTATCCTATCTCAAATTATTTCTATCAACAGTTTGTAAGTATGTATCATCTTATTCTCCTTATATATACAGTGAGGTGTGGGACCAAAATCCAGTTTATATTTACTTGACAATTTCTCCAAAGTGAGTCATGTAAATTACAGTGTCTTTGGCAGCTCATGGTACCTGGAGATTATGTGCATGCTCACACCCCTACAAAATCACACTCTCACGAAAGCCCATGTAACATAAGCAGAAACAAAGGCCTGTTTGTGTACTCAAAATCCTTCACTGGTTGTTCCTCTAGTTAACAAATGAAAAGTCAGTTCAATTGAAATGAAGGAACTGTAACACTGAGACCGAGATTATATCGTTAAAATCTGTTATGGATACAAAACAAAATTTGAGAGGACACATGGCTATTACGCAAGTAATTTAGGAAAGGCCATTCTGATTTGCTTCCTAGAATTATCAAATTTATAAGAAGGCCCATCCATTCTTCAGATAGTAGCTGGAGCCTAGTACAAGCGTGGACTGAGGAACATTTTCTTAAATAAAATGAAATCAGGTAAACAAAATAATCAGGAGTATGGAATGCATGTCATCTGAGAAAATTATGAGGAACACAGAAGTTTAATAACTATGTAGTTAAGAGTTGAAGAATGACTGTCCTTATAATGATGAGGCAGCCAACATCATTTAAATAAGACAACCCCTTACCAAACATAAAACTGAACAGCTCATTCTAGAGAACAAGAGAATTAGGAGTCAGAATTACTAACTCTGCAATGGCTACAATTGTAAAGCTGACAGTTCCCTAACAAATTTAAATGTGCCAAAGATAAAATGACAGCTTGCTAGTCACTCAGAGTCCTTTCGTGAAAGTACATACAGTTTTGCATATCAGTGAGTCTTTCATTTCATGACTTCCTAATTTCTATCCAATCATGAAATTACATGAAACAAAACTCTTAATCTGCTGATTTTACTGGGCCAATATTATACTGTGAAACATGACCAATATTGAAGCATGGATTTATTCAAATTGGGCATTAAAGTTGATGACAGTGAAAATATCAACATAATACTTTGGATTTGTTGCCTTAGATATGGGGGAAAATAAAACATTTGGAGGGTAAAGCAAGTTTTATTCTATTTTCTCATAAAGGATGGGTGAGGCAGGAAGAGGAGGAGAAGAAGAAAAGAAGAGGGAGAAGATAAGGAAGAGGAGGAGGAGGAGGGGGAAGAAGAAGGAACAAAATAAAAAGGAGGAACAAAATGAAAACAGAAAAAAAGAAATACGCATGATGCAAAATAAAGCTTTCTTTGATTAATCACATGAAATGTCCTTCCCTCCCTCCCTCCCTCATTCCCTCCCTCCCTCCCTCCCATCCTCCCACTCTCCCATCTTCCCTTCTTTTCCTTTTCTGTCTTCTGAACTTCCCTCTAACCTACTTATCTGGATTTAATTTTCCTAGAAAATGATGTTTTAAATAATGGACAAATCAGCTCACATCATTTCTCAAAGTGTCATTTTTATTACAAGCCCATATCAAAGATAAAATTCAGACTCTTTTTTTCCACATTTATCCTAACACACGACAATGGTAACATTTGACAAAAATAAATTTTAATTGTTATTCTTATTAAGTGGTATCTTCAAGTGGAACATTTTCTCATAAAATAATTCCCTTTTATGTTAGCTGATAATAGGTATTGCTTTATATGAATAGAATATAGCAAAGAGCTATCGTGTTGAGCTTCCATATATATATTTTATTCTCTTATGTTTATTATTTGGGTTTTTAGCAAAACAGTTTTGCATAGTGAAATAATCTCCATTTTTTCTACTTCTGTTGTGTAATTTTGGAATTATTAGCTTGATAACCACTTTTGTGCAAAAATAAGCCAAATAATTTTGATATGCTTTTCTTATAAGAGTCAGCCACCAGTGCCTTCACAGTAACTCTACTGTAGAACCTCGAAAGCTTGAAATCAGCATTCATATTCAATTAAGTTATATAGGAGATGGATAGATACTGATTGTCATTAAACCTACCTCTAATCAGTCAAATTCATGGTACATTGATCTTTCTTTTGGCTGTTTGGTTGGGTGGATTATTTTATTCATCAATGTTCTAATAATGTCTATGATGCAATCATCTTGATTATCTTGAGAAAATTTGGTTTTACTACTTGTGCACCGAAGGGAGGATGCTTAGAGATTTTCCACACATATTACCATTTTTGACGTATTACCCTCTTTTTAAAAATGTAGTATCTTCAAATAGAAATCATTTTGTGGTTTCTATATTCCAAACATTTGGAATTACTGTAGAGATGGAGGAACAGGGGGGTTGTAAATCTTCCCTAATGATAATTGCCTTAGTGCTGCTTTAATTTGGCACTTGTTTTTCATTTTCCTCTCACTCTATTGCTCTGGTACTTGAATTTTGTATAAAAATCACTCCAGAGCTTGTTAAATTGTAATTTCCCTTCTTTCATCTTCAAATTCTTGTCTAATAACTTTAAAGTAGGCCTTGTTTTAACAACACAAAAGCAATTTTGACCCAGAATATCAATGAAGGAATTCTATTTTGTCACTTTGGATGTTGACACCTGGAAATCTATTCAGAAAATATAACCCAGATATCCTCCTATGGATCTCTTGGCAGATATACATTAATATCAAAGAAGATTCTGGCTATGTGTCTACTTGGTGCTGTTGCTTGAAATCTTACCATTGATCCCACAATAGTGGTTGTGGAGTCCATGAATAAGTTCTTTATTTCCATACTACCTTATTAACATACAGGCAAACATATAGATGATAAGACTCTCTGGACCTTAGGGTTGTAACACACAGGTTCTATAGACATATTTTATCTCTTATGTCAATTTACTTAACCTGGTTTTTGTTCACAAAGTTTATATGTGGATGTCATGATGATGTGCACAGCTCCCATGGCAGGTCTCCTCACTAAGAACCTTTCACCTGGCTCATTTATGTGCCTTTTTGTTGTTGCTAAGCCACTCTAATCCTGCATTTGGTCTCCAGCTGATGAGTGAAAAGGAATGTACAATCTCTCCATGTAGCATCAATATTCTCTCTATGCTCATGACAGGAAACACTAAATTCAGTTTATGCTCATGATATTTTCATCTTTTCAAGTGGACCTCCTTACTGTGCATGTACCTCTATTGTTTCTACATAACATTCTTTGAATTAAATTGCCTCCCCAAAAGATACATTTATGCCCCTTCCCCCAGTACTTTAAAGGTGAGCTTATTTGGGAATAGAATTGCTGCACATGGAGTAAGTT